ACGTGCCTCTCGCAGCCGAATCTAAAAGATTTCTAGAAGCAAAATTCAATCCGGCATAAAAAATTTGTATGATCATCCATAAATTCAAACCATGAGTAGGGCAATTGCGAAGCATCAATTTCATTCTTTACCAAGATTGGGCAACATGCTCATGATCAAGTTGTTTAAAATTCATAATATCGTTCCTAAGAGTGATGATCTTAGCGGGAGGAAAATACTTAGAGATAAAAGCATCTTTGCACTTGTTCCAAGAATCAATACTATTTTTAGGCAAAGACGAAAACCAAACTTTAGCACGATCTCTAAGTGAAAACGGAAATAACTTCAATTTGACAATATTGTTATCCGTATCTTTCTTCTTTTGCATATCACACAAATCAACAAAATTGTTTAGATGAGTAGCGGCATCTTCACTAGGAAGGCCGGCGAATTGATCTTTCATAACAAGATTCAACAAAGCGGTATTGATTTCACAAGACTCATCATTATTAAGAGGAGCAATCGGAGTACTAAGAAAATCATTATTATTGGTATTCGAGAAGTCACACAATTTGGTATTATCTTGCGCCATGGCAACAGGTAATCCAACACACAAGCAAACAAAAAGGCAACGGGAAAAAGGCAAACGGGAAAGAGAGGAGGAGATTGGGAAAGAGAGGGCAAATAAAACGGCAAGGGTGAAGTGGGGGAGAGGAAAACGAGAGGCAAATGGCAAATAATGTAATGCGAGAGATAGGAATTTTGACGGGTACTTGGTATGGTTGACTTGCTTGCGTGAGCCTCCCCGACAATGGTGCCAGAAATTCTTCTTGCTACCTCTTGAGCACTGCGTTGGATTTCCACGAAGAGGAGAGGATGATGCAGCAAAGTAGTGTAAGTATTTCCCTCAGTTTTTGAGAACCAAGGTATCGATCCAGTAGGAGACCACGCACAAGTCCCTCGTACCTACACAAAATAATAGCTACTCGCAACCAACGCGATTAGGGGTTGTCAATCCCTTCACGGTCACTTACGAGAGTGAGATCTGATAGAGATGATAAATAATATTTTTGGTATTTTTGGTATAGAGATGCAAAGTAAAAAGTAAAAGGCAAAGTAAAAGCAAAGCAAGTAATAAAGTAATGGAGATTGATATGATGAGAATAGACCCGGGGACTATAGGTTTCACTAGTGGCTTCTCTCAAGAGCATAGATTTTCTATGGTGGGTGAACAAATTACTGTTGAGCAATTGACAAAATTGAGCATAGTTATGAGCATATCTAGAGAATGATCATGTATATAGGCATCAAGTCCGAGACAAGTAGATCGAAATGATTCTGCATCTACTACTATTACTCCACTCATCGACCGCTATCCAGCATGCATCTAGAGTATTAAGTTAAAAATAGAGTGACGCCTTAAGCAAGATGACATGATGTAGAGGGATAAATTCATGCAATATGATAAAACCCCCATCTTGTTATCCTCGATGGCAATAATACAATACGTGTCTTGCTACCCCTGCTGTCACTGGGAAATGACACCGCAATATTGAACCCAAAGCTAAGCACTTCTCCCATTGCAAGAACTACCAATCTAGTTGGCCAAACCAAAAGGATAATTCGAAGAGACTTGCAAAGATAACTCAATCATACATAAAAGAATTCAGAGAAGATTCAAATATTGTTCATAGATAAGCTGGATCATAAACCCACAATTCATCGGTCTCAACAAACACACCACAAAAAGAAGATTACATCGAATAGATCTCCACGAGAGAGGGGGAGAACATTGTATTGAGATCCAAAAAGAGAGAAGAAGCCATCTAGCTACTAGCTATGGACCCGAAGGTCTGAAGTAAACTACTCACACTTCATCGGAGGGGCTATGGTGTTGATGTAGAAGCCCTCCGTGGTGGATGCCCCCTCCGGCGGAGCTCCGGAATAGGCCCCAAGATGGGATCTCGTGGATACAGAAGGTTGCGGTGGTGGAATTAGGTTTTTGGCTCCTGTTCTGATCGTTTGGGGATACGTAGGTATATATAGGAGGAAGGAGTACGTCGGTGGAGCAGCAGGGGGCCCACGAGGTAGGGGGCGCACCCTCGTGACCGCCTCTTTTGTTCCTTGGAGCAGGGTCCAAGTCTCCTGGATCACGTTCGGTGAGAAAATCACGGTCCCGAAGGTTTTATTTGGTTTGGACTCCGTTTGATATTCCGTTTCTTCGAAACACTGAAATAGGCAAAAAAAACAGCAATTCTGGGCTGGGCCTCTGGTTAATAGGTTAGTCCCAAAAATAATATAAAAGTGGAAAATAAAGCCCAATATAGTCCAAAATAGTAGATAAAGTAGCATGGAGCAATCAAAAATTATAGATACGTTGGAGATGTATCACGGGGAGGCAGCAGCCATCGGCGGCAGGGAGATCGGGAAGAGCTCGGCGAGCAGCGGCGCGGGGAGGCGGTGAGCTCGGCGCTGGCGCTGGGTGGCGGGGCGCTCCGACGGGGCCGCCGGCGGGATGCGTCGAGGCGGCGGGGCAGGGGCTCGCCTGTGGGAGGCGTGGTCGAGGTTGGATGGGAGGAAGCCGAGTAGGCGAGCGCCAGGGGCGGGCGGCGGCGCGGCACGGGCGCCTTAGGCCCAGATCGACCCGGGGCGGGCCGCGGATGGGCTCTGCGGGCCGCGGCGGTGGGAGGCGCAAGGGGTGACGTGGAGGCGTGGGAGTGGCTGAGGAGGGCGGCGCTGGTGGGGGCTGGCCGATCTAGCGGCAAGTGGCGACGGTGGAGTGGGGCGGCGCGAAAAACAATGAGGAGGAGGCCGCTGATCCGAGGGGGCTAGAGGTAGGTGGAGGGCTAGGGATGCCAAAATGGACTATGGGGAGGTGTGTGTATATAAGTAGGTGCTAGGGTTAGGGGGTTTGGGATGATTTCGGGCATCGGATCACGATCCGACGGTGCGGGAGCAGAGGGGGGTCTAGGTGGGCTGCAGGTGAGCTGTGTAGAGTGGCTAGGGAGAGAATAGAAGAGAGGCCCGTAGCAGTTTCGGAGACCGAAACGTCCGACGAATGTACGGGCAACGGTACCGCTATATGTTTAACGGTTGGGCTATTAAACGGACTCCAAATGCGACGAAATTTGGCAGACAGTCTACCTACACTACAATAAGACCGCACGCCAATTTTCACCCCATTCTGAGAACATTTTTACGCCACTTATTAAATAATATTTCGGAGGTGCCGCGGGCGCGTGCGAGTGTGAATGAGCTCGGAACAGACAACAAAGAGAACTGGTAGACCCGGGCGGATGCAAGTCTTGAAAAACATGCAGATGAAATGCACATGATGACATGGTAAAGTGCAACACGCAAGCGAATGACATGGCAACGGCGGCAAATAACTGGAAGACATCTAGCACATCGGTCCCGGGCGTTACAGATATGTAGGCATAGGCCTTTGATCATGTTGTTGTCTACAACTTTGGGAAGCATCCTAGTGAGGACATCAACAACTATGTTGAATAGCTGGGGGCAGAGGACCACCCTGCCTCAAGCCCTTATCATTAAGAACTCACTCTCCACATTGTTCAGTTTGACACATACAAAACCACTATGAGTGGTTTCCAAACCAAGTCCAACCATCTTTTATTGAATCCTCTAAGCTGAAGAGATTTGTGCAAACAAAAATCCACCTTATCAAAAGATTTGCTTTTCATAATCAAGGGTAAGAACTACTCATTTATCCTCATATTTAACCAGGGAGTGAATGACTTCATGTATTGTGACCACACTCAAGAATATATCTGCCTTTTATGAAGGTAGACTGGTTGTTAGATATGAAACTATTTAAGAATATGGATCTATTGGTCAGAACTTCAGTAAAAATCTTCAAGACACAAATTTTATCTATACCTACTATTAAAGGGAGGTGATATTCTTGATTTCGTCCTATTTTGTTTGGTCCCGCTTTAATTAATTTCATGTATGTGATTTGGTTTCGTTACTTGCCACCCGTGTTGACCCAACGGAGGAAGCCCACCTGGTGGCGCACTGTGGTTAGGCCCGGGGAGCTGGCAAAAAATAAAATTGCAATATTCATGTAAGCAAAAAAAAATCGATTGTCAGCGAGAATTCGTTTTCCCTGTTGCAATGCACAGCAAATTTTCGAGATAAATGTGTCACCTGACTAGAATTGATAAATTGCAAGATATTTATTTCTTCTCTCTCGTTGCAACGCCTAGACATGTTTGCTATATTACAAAAAATATGTTCAAAAATCAAGAGTTTCAACTAATTTTTATTCAAAACATTTTCATGAATTAATCAATAATAAGTGATTGTTTTAAAATCAATTTACAGAGCTAGAGATATGAGATGGTTATTTTTTTTCTCTTGTTGCAACGTACGGCCCTTTTTGCTAGTTAGAAGGCTAATAAGCCTAAATTTCTTTTTTTTTATTGACGGGAATAGGCCTAAATTTCTTCATGGTTGTTGCAGCGGGCTCCTTAAGGATATGTACAACTTTACCGTTTTGTTTCCTACACATAGTAGAGTACCACGGAGTGAAATGCCTTGACTAGTTATGGTGAGCTTGACGAGTCATTGGTGTGGTGGCTTGCATGCACAAGTCTAGCCAAGGATCCAATTTAAATCCCACACAGTAGCGCTAGGATGCAGCAGTACGTACACCTCTAGCTCGTCCTTCCTTTAAGGCGTGGTGGGGCGGGTCGGTTTCTATGATTCATGTGATGTCGTTGACAGAAAGAGAAAGCAAGCATTGCATGTAGATCGACTGGAGCTACAGAAAGTGAAAGTAAATCATCAGCGTCAGAGAGCTATAGAGTTAGACGATAGATAGCAAGTGAAAAGGAGCTCACTCCCCTTCATCATCTCCCTCCTATATATACAGAGAGAGAGAGTGAGAGATCATCAGACAGTGTGCTGCCAGAAGCCAGCTGCAGACACGAGTGAGAAAGACGATCAAGCTGTCAAAAGGAGAAGAGGTCGAGAGGAGGGAAGGTGATCGGTCGATCATGGGGAGGCCGCCGTGCTGCCACAAGGTGGGCGTGAAGAAGGGGCCGTGGACGCCGGAGGAGGACATCATCCTGGTGTCCTACATCCAGGAGAACGGCCCGGGGAACTGGCGGGCGGTGCCCATCAACACCGGCCTCATGCGCTGCAGCAAGAGCTGCCGCCTCCGCTGGACCAACTACCTCCGCCCCGGCATCCGCCGCGGCAACTTCACCACGCACGAGGAAGGCATCATCGTCCACCTCCAGTCCCTCCTTGGCAACAGGTAACCAACTAAGCCACCCAGCGATCGATCGTCCGGGTTGGTCATGGCGGCCGCCCGTGCGTGCATGGTGATATACATGATCTAATAACAACTCTTTGGGTTTGGGGGAATGTAGATGGGCCGCGATCGCGTCCTACCTGCCACAGAGGACGGACAACGACATCAAGAACTACTGGAACACGCACCTCAAGAAGAAGCTTAAGAAGCAGCAGGCCATGGGCGCCATCTTCGCGCCGCCGCCGCCGCCGCCCTCCAGCTCCGCCGAGACAGCTATCAACCTCCCCGGCGCCGTCCATCTCGACAACCACCACCACCGATACCACCATGACGCGATCGCTGCCTCCAGCTCCACGGTCGACCACGGCTGCTACGCGGCGTGCAGCAACCCGGAGGTCACCCAGCAGCATACGACGATCACCATGCGCCGCTCGCCATTCGCCGACGTCGCCGCCGACTGCTCCTCGTCGTCCTACGCCTCCAGCATGGACAACATATCCAGGCTCCTCGACGGTTTCATGAAGAGCTCCCCGCCCACCGCCACCGACGTCAAACCCAACATAGCCGTGGTCAGCGACCCTTTCATGTCCTTCGACCGCATATCCGGCACCGGCACCGAGCTGGCTTTCGTCCCTGGCGTTCAGCAGCAGCAGCAGCAGCCGGTGTTAATGGGGGGCATCAGCTATGATGACGAGGCCACCAGACAGCAGCAGCAGCTCCATCATCAGTTGCCACTGTGTTCGATCGAGAAGTGGCTTCTCGATGAGGCAGCGGAGCAGGTCGCTGACCTGATGGACCTCTCCGACGGTGGCTGCTCCTCCCTGCCATTGCTGTACTAGCCAGTACTTCTGTGGTACTAGCTGGAAAAGGCAAACCAACGAACCATTGTCACTTTCCAGATACATAGTTAATCGTTTCTACAGTCAATTACATGCATACACATCCATATATATATAATAGAGAGGCTAAGTAATTTCTGTTAATTACATGTTCTAGCTAGCTTCTTGGAGATCGCTATGATGACACCATCAAGTTAACTAGAGAGAGGCAAAAGGAAGTTAATTATAGAGACGTTTACTAATGGTGCATATTACACTGGGATGGGATGATGAGAAGAAGGCCAAGTGGCCAGAAGGAACAAGACAGTAACAGGAATTCAATAACGGCCGCGACGTGATGTATGATCTGATCTGCAAGCATGATGCGACTAAGGGTTGTCATGTCTGTTCTTGAATGTAGTTTTTTGTGGGGAAATGTTTTTTCGTTTCTGGGTTATAGTGCAAGCAAGCTGAAGTGTTCCAGCTTAGCTTACCCGGTGTTGAATTGTACGGAGTATGAATATAAGTTAGTGAACCCTTCTGTTTTTGTCTTGATTCTAGTTGATTGATTCTGCAACGACTTGTACTTTTTCCTGATCATGTACGGTGTGACATGAATGCTACCCAAACTTGTTAGTGGAAAAAAAGCTAGAGAGAGGGGATATGTCCCTGTCGGCAACGGCAGATGGTCCCTGATCACATTCACTGCAAAAGAAAAAAAAAGATGATCACATTCACTGCAAAAAAAAAAAGAAAGCAACTCGCAGATTATAACAAAAAAATAATACTCCCTCCGTCCAACAATATAAGATGTTTTTACAAGCTATGTTAGCTTGCAAAAAGGTCTTATATTATGGACGGAGGGGGTAATACATAGCCTTTTTAGCCCGGATTTTTTGGGGAAAAGATGAACCATTTCTCAATGCATGGTTAGTTATTTAACTATCTGCTTCCAAAAGAAAACTGAACGAATTTAAAAGCTATTCACCGAGAAAGTACCTTTCAGGAAAGATACAGATAGATTTTGCACAAGAATTAACAATGATTGCTCCTGGCTGGTCATCAACATCGCTTGAAATGCTCTGTTAGCTTGTAGCACATCAGGTAAAGCAACAGGCAGTACGGCAGAGAATGGGCATGTATATCCAGGAAAGAGATGATCAATTACATGATTAAGACATGGTCTGTGGGGTGTCCCTGGATCTCCGTTATGCGTCCCTTCCGTGTCATGTTACTCGCTATGGATCAATAAAAGCCGTCGCTACTTTGGCCACTAGTTTCTATCTTACATGTTGTGAAATGACTTTTCAACACAAGTTTCTGCAAATGATTATTAAATATCTAATCCAAATATCTGTGGTCAGATTTTCAAAAGTTCGATTTCATTTATGTCTAGAACAACTTCTTCAAAAAAAATGGAGGGAGTAAAATGCACTGAAAATAAAAATGTAAGTGTCACACCTGCATTTGGATGCAGTCTTAGATCAGAGGGTGAACTTTTTTGGGCAACAGGCGCTTTTATTAAACGCAAAATGTATCCAAAAAACGATCAGAGAGTGAAATGGCCTAGCTGAGTGATGAATTTTGCTTGTTAAAAGCCTAGCTAGACTGCGTAACCTCAACTAGTCAACTGCAACACCCTCACCTGACCCAGCTAGCTGGTCCAGGCATCCAGCTATATCTTCAAGATCAGCTCAGACTGGACCAGTATCGAACTATCAGCAGGACCAAGCAAGACTTTTCCTGGCCCAAGCAGGGATGCAAAAACCGGCGAAAACCAGTGGGTATACCGGTTTCCCCTGTTTAGGGACATTTTTAATGATTGGGCAGTATGCTGTTCAGTAATTGTGAGAAAATATAAAACAGGGAGAAAGGGGTGAACAAATGGTTATGGACGCTCTTATTTTGGTAAAGGCTGTTTAGATTAGACATATTTCTCTAGAGTTTTGGTAATTAGGAGCTGTTCGCCGAACAGGCCCTTAGTACAGATTTAAGCTACATGCTGAATCTCGAGAAAGTATAACCTACATCCAATCACCTCCTCGGAGGTTACAACAGAAGGGAGATTCGAAGTTTTACGACCAGTCAAACACCATGACAAGAACAGCTCCTAAGGTGGAGTTCTTGGGCAGTTGAGCCAATGGTAGTCAAACTCCATGACAAGCACAGCTCCTAACATGGAGTTCTCGAGCAGTTGAGCTACTGGTAGTGAAACTCCATGACAAGCACAGCTCCTAACATGGAGTTCTTGAGCAGCTCAGCCAATGGCGGGAGCGTTAATCTCATGTTTTTGCCAAGAAAAGAAGCATCATCACTGTCATCATCAGCCATGTCAATTTAGACAGTGCACACTGCAGTGATTTTCAGCAACGACTGACTCGGGTATACACCTCTCAATCTCGACGTAGCCATCGCTCCATTACAGGAAAGGTGGCCCGGGCAGTGCACGCACGTGTAACTCAAGCGTGCCGGTGCCCAATGGAGTGTGCCAGGGCAACCAACAGAGCAGGTGGCAATTAATTAGGAAAGAATGGAAGATCTGTTTGTGTTACCTCGGTGGAGTACATGGACGACCTTGTGCAAATAGGCCAAAGCGTCTTACCCATCGTGGGAGCGCTGCTGCGTGTTATATAGGGCAGGGGCGCACCTCCCTGGATAGCGCATACAGCAGTTTAGATTACAATCTTGGAAGAAAGAAAGAGGTAGAGATAAAGATTCTAGTTAAGATAAACCTCCTTCCTAACTACCTAACACATGTGCGCAAGTAATGTAATCCTCCTGCTACGCTACAACTTGTGTTTAACACCCTCCCTTAATCACAACTTTATTAAGTTGAGATTATGCTTGAAGTCTTCAAAGCTTCGTGTGGGAAGAGGCTTTGTGAATCCATCTGATGTCTGGTCCTTGGAATGCACAAAACGTATGTCAAGTTTCTTCTGAGCCACTCGTTCTCTGACAAAGTGAAAATCTATCTTAATGTGTTTAGTTCTGGCATGAAAAACTGGATTGGCAGATAGATATGTAGCACCCAGATTATCACACCATAAACATGGAACTTGAGTACTTCTTACACCAAGTTCCTTCAAAAGTGATTGCACCCATATGATCTCAGCTGTTGCATTTGCCAATGCTTCGTATTCTGCCTCAGTACTGGATCTAGAAACAGTTGACTGCTTTCTTGCACTCCATGAAATTAAATGGGACATTTGCATTTCTGTCCCTAACTCGAACCACCTACTCAGATTTGCCCCTAATTTCAAAGTCTGCTCAAAAATGCCCCTCTGCCGTTAGGTGACCTTATAGAAATGCCCTTCCGTGCCGTTTCCGTTAGGTCAAAGGCCTTTGACCGTCTACGAGACGTTTCTTGGACATTTTGCCCCTGCCTCCATGTGTCACTTACATGTGGGACCCACTTAGGAAAAAATAAAAATAAAAACACTTTTTCTCACGCCCTCTCTCTCTCACTTACATATGGGCCCAGAAAAGGAAAAAGAAAAACCTCTCTCTCACATCTCTCTCTAACTTACATGTGGGGCCTAGCAAAAAATAAACAAAAAAAAAAGCTATCGCTCTGTCTCCCGACCTCGCGGTCTCTCTCATCTCCGGCGAACTACATCCGACAGCCGGCGGACCGGTCCTCGCGCCGCCACTGGAGCTGTCTCGCCATGCTCCTCCACCAGCTCACCGCGCCCGGTCGGCAGCTTGCCGCACTCCCCTGCCCTCTCCCTCGTCTCCAGTGAACTACATCTGACGGCCGGCGGATCGGTCCTCGCACCGCCACTGGAGCTGGCTCGCCGCGCTCCTCCACCAGCTCACCGCGCTCGGTCACCAGCTCACCGCGCCCGGTGCGATTAATTGGATTGAACTGCCCAATAATGACGGATCCTTCATCGTCTTCCCCAGCTCCGGTGTCACGCCGCCGCCGCTCGATCTCCTCCACCAGTGAGCATTGCAGCCTTACCTTGGGTTCTTGAGTTTCGAAATCTCCTCCTGAACATCCTCCGCCTGCTCCCAATTATCCTCTCTCCCCTAGCAGCTCTGCCGGCGAGCACCTCCCGTCGTCATCGCTCAAGCTCGCAACTTCCCATCCTCCCCGGCACCCCACATTCGCTGGCCACCTTAGGCCACTGAAGCTTCTCTCCCGCACCCTCACAAGCCCGATCTTGAAGCCAATCGACTGCTCCGGCGGCCTCCCGTACATCACCGTCGTGTCTTCGTGCGCGGCCGCCGGCGTGTTTTAGTTAGCCTAATCCCAGATTATCCTAAACTATTATTAGTTCTAATTACACTCATTTCACAAAAGCTGACTAGTGGGTCCAGCCCTCAAATAAATCAGTAAATAACGTTTCAGAAATAATAGAACAATGCCTGACCCATATCAAGTTTTATTTTTCATTTTATTAGTTGGGCCCATATGTAAGTGAGAGAGAGGGGGGGTGAGAGAAAGTGTTTTTATTTTTATTTTTTCCTAAGTGTGTCCCACATGTAAGTGACACATGGAGGCAGGGGCAAAATGTCCAAGAAACGTCTCGTAGACGGTCAAAGGCCTTTGACCTAACGGAAACGGCACGGAAGGGCATTTCTATAAGGACATCTAATGGCGGAGGGGCATTTTTGAGCAGGCTTTTGAATTAGGGGCAAATGTGAGTAGTGGGTTCGAGTTAAGGACACAGATGTAAAAGACCCAAATTAAATTGGGACCAAAAAATACTACAAAGCCACCAGTGGACCGTCTGTCATCCAGACAGCCTGCCCAATCAGAATCTGAAAAAGCACTCAAAAGTGTAGATGATGACTTACTGAAATTCAGCCCAATATTGAGAGTATTCTTGATATATCGAACTATACGCTTTGCAGCAGTCCAGTGAACTGTGGTAGGTGCATGAAGAAACTGACAGACCTTATTAACAGCAAAGGAGATATCAGGCCGTGTAAGTGTCAAATATTGAAGCGCACCTACCAGACTCCTGTATCTTGTGCTGTCATCTTGGCCCAAAGGCTGCCCTTCTGTAAGGGATAAT